GCACTTTGGATGCCTCTTACGACCACAATCTAGTAACATGTCCAATTTGGTATTGAGCGCACTTTGGATACACCATGCATGACAAAACATAGAGATTATGCGATAGCGTGTCAATTTTGACATCAATTACACTTTAGATGCCTTTATGGATGCTTATCTAGTGGTGTTATAGTAGCGTGTGCAACCTCGTATCAGCTACTAACATTGACTGTTTGCTTATATCTGAATTAGGTTGCGGCGATTTCACGTAAAGTTTGCAATAGTTGTTGCATATGATGCCTTGTTACCATTATGGGGGTGTTTGGTTCGAGGGCGAAGTTGGATTGGCTAGTAATATCCCCAGCCACCTGGTTAGGGATAACCACATTTGCTTGTTTGGTTGAATGGGATTGGTTGTGTTGGATAGCCAAATTTTGTTGTTTGGACGGAAGGATGAGAAGTGGATATATTCTTATAATGACACACTTTTTTATGGAATTGTGAAAAAAATTATGCATTTTTTCAAATTAGCTCATTATACAATCGTTCTGCCCATTCCATTACAGCAAACTTTGTTCCTTAAGTTAGAAAAAAAATCTATCACCTTAATGACGCTGGAACCCAACTGAACGCTATGCCGAAATTCTCGGTGGATCTAGAATCCAATGTTAATATTGCAGGGGCTATAGTAGTCTTGGTTTTTACACCATCTATCAAACATACATCAAAGGGGAACGCCAACATCAAACACACGCACCCCTGGATGAACACACACCAGTAGTGTATGGCATGGATGAACACACATCAGTAGTCTATATTCCTGAAATAATGTTGTTCACTGTCGAAATCAAACATATGCGTCAAATCGGGACTGCCTTGCTGATCTATTCGTCAGCTCGGTGCTCCTCCGTTCTAGCTGCAGAGAAAGGGAAAGATGCATCAGATATCTGGTACAAAGAGGGATCGAGCTACACTGTCCGTATGGGTATGATATAGAGAGCTGCCGGCACCGACGTAACCCGCCGCTGGCACGTCCGTTCTCCGGCTCCCTGATGCCCCCGTTCCCCACCGCCAGCGCTCACTTCCATAGCAGTGTCGGGTGGGCTCCAAGGTTGGTGGAAGAGCATAGGGGAAGTCAGAGTCTCTGAGAAAGGGCTAGACAGAAATGGCGAGAGATAGAGAACGAGGAGGAGGAGGAGAAGGAGGATGGGATGCTTCTCGTGCGCCGCCGCTTCGATGCGGAATCGCTGCCACTGTCGTCGAAGTAGAAAAAAGGGAGGAAAATGCTTCGGCGCGGTGGGTGGCTGCCCTCGTCCGTCAGTTTCTCGCGGCTATCGGTAGCTAAGTTTTCGGTGGAATATTCGCTATGTCGGGTTATCCCCAGCCATCGCATCCTTCCTTCCAAACATATGGCATCCCCTGAAAATCTGGCTATCCTTATCCCACTGAGGGATAGCCTCAGAACCGAACGTCACCTATATGTATATAGACAATTGTGCAAAAAACTTAACATGTGTTGTTAACATTTGTTGCGGCCTTATCAGGGTATGCATGATGCGGTGGTTTCATGTAAAATCCGTGTCGCCTATTGCGCATAGGGCGTTAGGTTATCATCATACAATTGTGGATAAACCCTCACATCAGTTACTAACATTCATTGTTGCTTTATCTACATACACATGATGCGATGGGTTTCCATAAAACCCGTGTCGGCTATTGCACACAGGATGCCTAGTTCTCATTGCATAAAAAGTTCGCATCAACCTCCCCCCTCTCCCCTCTCCCAACCCCCACATCCAATTTACTTACATGCAGTCCCTAGTTTACAGATTATTTATTGAAGTCAAATATTTGCACAACTAATAGGTTTAGGATATTATTGGACCCTTCCATTCTAAAATCAAAAGGCCATAAACAAGGAAGATTTTGATGTGTTGTGGCTACGTTGAGTCTTCTACTATTTTCTCCAATGGTTTGCACTTACCGGTCGACATCTACTTTGGTATTAATTTATTCTCAAAACAAAGGATCAAAATTTAAAAACCTCATGGCGTTTTGCTGTGATGAAGAGAATCAATCAATCAACTAAAAAAGAAAAGAAAATGGCAATCAATCAAAAAGTCCCTCCCCAAGACACAAATACATCGTCCAATTATTGGAAGGGCATTCAGTTAGAGTCTCATTATAAACAACACATGGATCAAGCTTCACCGCGAAGAAAAAACATCACACAAATCCGGCAGAAAAACAACCGCTTGCAATTGCTTTAACATCAAGTTGTCCAGATGATTATGGGAGGTTTGAGGGTCGGCGGTGAAGATGCCTTATCTTGGTATGGTTGATGCAGTGGTTTAACGTAAAATCTACCCCAACTATTGGACATAGGATGTCAGATTATCATTATACAATTGTGCACAAAACCTCTCTTCCGTTACTAACATTCATCGTCGCCAGAGGTGGAGGACGGAAAAAAATTAAGGTATGGCGAAGTTTTAAGGAAAGAACTTTTTTGATGCAAATCGAAAGAGTCAATACACAATACAAACGGAAAACTAAATACAATGAAAATGTAGCCATGTTTCAATAGAAAAACAACCTAAAACATACCTATAATCAAGCTTTCAATGGCGTCTAGAACGTGCTAGTTAGGGTTGCGTCGCGTCGGCCGTCGGGTGGAGTGGCTGGTCGAGTGTGTGTGCGTCTCGATCGGGTCATGCCTGCTCTACCTTTTTTTGGGGGGATAAAAGCCACTTTATTGATCAAGTTCCACACAATGTTGGATGCAAACCGGGTCATGTGGCTGGCCAAGCCATACATGACGCCCCTGAGCTAAGGTACGAGCATATTTAGCTAACCTGTGAGCTTAAAATTAACTTCACGACTTTCAAAAATAAAATTACATGAAAAAGGAGCTAATCTAGACTTGATTTGCTTGATAATGGTCCATGCGCCCACTGGTTACCTATCACTGAGCACTTGTTTTGAATCTGATGATACGATAAAGTTTTGGACCTGTAGATCTTGTGCCAATGAGATAGCCTCTCGACAGGCTATAGCCTCCTGAGTTGCGGGATTAAATACCCCGACAATAACCAAAGCAGAACTCCCAAGAACATGACCTGGCTATCACGGCAGATTGCAGCCAGCGTCATGTGTGTCGATCGAGACATCGAGTCATGCGTGCTCAAACTAGCTCGACCGGTGGTTGCTGCTTCGTGCTTTTTCTTTTGATGAGGGGTTGCTGCTTCGTGCTTGTGCGCTCGATCAAGAGACATCGAGTCGTGTGTGGCCTCGTCGGATTCCTGGCCCAACTAGCTGGATGCGTGGGCTCATTTCTCCTTTTAGCGTAAAACAGCTAGCGGTCAAAACGAATCAGCGAGGCAGCCGTAAGATACATAGATATACGATTTTGTTTTGCTCAGAATTAAGGTATGGCGGCTGCGATACCCTGCTCGCCAGTGATTGTCGCATGATGTGATGATTTCGTGTAAAACTTGTGTGCCTACTACATATAGTGTGCAATAAAAGTTTGCATCACCCCCCATCCGATTTACATGCCGCCCTCAGTTTGCATATTATCCCTTGAAGATAAATTATGGGCACAATCAATAGGTTTTCTCACTCTAAAATCAGAAGGCTATAAACAAAGAAGACTTCGGCATGTTTCGTATCGAGTCTTCTACTTATCCATTATAAAACTACACACCAATGGTTTGCACTTAGCGGTCGACATCAACTTTGGTATTAACTCATTCTCAATATAAAGGATCAAATTTTACAGATCTCATCTCGGTTTCGTTGTGATCAATACATAAATCATCAACTCAAAAAAGAAAAGAAAAAAGACAATCAATCAAAAAGTCACCCCCAGGACACAGATACATCCTCCAATTATTGAAAGGGCAATCAGTTAGAGTATCACTTTAAACAACACACGCATCAAGCTTCTCCACGAAGAAGAAACCGCACACAAATCCGGCAGAAAAACAGCCGCTTGCAATTGCTTTAACATCAAGTTGTCGCCTTTTTTTTATTTGCTTACCAGCTGTCACATAGGGGCCAATCAATGTGCGTGTCCCGTAGCTCCGCCAGCCTTCTATTTATGCCCTCTCCCATGGACGGAGAGAGGCATCCAGAACCAGAAGCAAAGCTCACACAAAGTCACAAGAATGATGAACCCAAAGAGCCGTGTCCAAGAGTGGGAGGCCGACCACGTCGAGCTCATCCCGGGGATGCCCGACGACGTCGCCGTCGACTGCCTGGCGCGCGTCCCGCACGGGTCCTACCGCTCGATGCGCCGCGTGTGCCGCGGCTGGCGGAGCGCCGCCGCCGCCCCGGAGTTCGCCCTGGCGCGCGCCGAGGCCGGAGCCAACGAGGATCTGGTCTTTCTCATGCAGTTTGGCAACCCGGTGGCCGGGGACGACGGGGCGCCCGAGAACGCCCCGGCGTACGGCGTGGCCGTGTACAACGTCACCACCGGGGAGTGGCACCGCGAGAGCTCCGCCCCGCCGGTGCCGATGTTCGCCCAGTGCGCGGCCGTGGGCACCCGCGTCGCCGTGATGGGCGGCTGGGACCCCAAGACCTTCGAGCCCGTGGCGGACGTCAATGTGCTGGACGCCGCCACCGGCGTCTGGCGCCGCGGCGCGCCGATGCGGTCCGCGCGCTCCTTCTTCGCCTGCGCCGAGGCGGGCGGCAAGATCTATGTCGCCGGCGGGCACGACAAGCTCAAGAACGCGCTCAAGACGGCGGAGGCGTACGACGCTGAGGCCGACGGCTGGGACCCGCTGCCGGACATGTCGGAGGAGCGCGACGAGTGCGACGGCATGGCCACCGTCGCCGGCGACCGGTTCCTCGCCGTGAGCGGGTACCGCACGGGGCGCCAGGGAGGGTTCGAGCGGGACGCCGAGTGGTTCGATCCGGCGACCCGCGAGTGGCGCCGCCTGGAGCGCGTGCGCGCCCCGCCGTCGGCGGCTCACGTGGTGGTGCGCGGCCGCGTGTGGTGCATCGAGGGCACGGCCGTGATGGAGTGGCGCGGGGAGCGCCGGGGCTGGCTCGAGGTGGGCCCCTACCCGCCTGGTCTCAAGGCCGGCACGGCGCGCGCGGTCGCCGTCGGCGGCGGCGAGCGCGTGGTGGTCACCGGCGCCATCGAGTCCGAGGGAGGCGGCGGCGGGCACGCGCTGTGGGTATTCGACGTCAAGTCCAAGAACTGGACCGTGGTGCGCCCTCCGCCGCAGTTCGCCGGCTTCGTCTTCTCCCTGGCCTCCGTCCGCGTGTGATGAGAACCCTCCCCGGCGCCGCTCCCGACCAAGAAGACTACTACTACTACTAGCGAGTATGTATGCATGTTCTTGAGTTGCAGTGCTTCTGCCATTGATGTATCTGAGATCCGCGATCTCATCGCCTGAGATCTGCGCATCCCGGATGCAATCAACAAAAAAGAACAAAAAAAGCATGAGGCATCATCGCCAAGAAGAAAACAACAAAAATATCTAGAGGATTGTAGGTTGTCAGATCTGTGTGCTCTAGTCACCATGGTTGTAAACTCTCTCCTCTTTTGCTGTTGAGACAGTCTGCCATTTCTGTTGTTGAGACAGCGTGGTGTTTTGGTTCTATGATATTAGCAATGAGTCGCTGTACATATTATTGTGAGTTGGAAGATCATGTCATATGGCTTCTCCATCTTCTGTCTTAGATCCAGTTCTGCTGCAGCTCACAGAGGCTGGTACGCCATCTCAAATGTCCATCCGTTTCGCGGCTGAAGAACACACCTCGATGTCGATGCCGGTGGCTCGCCGCCGTCGAGCAATCATCTTTACGTTTCTTTCCACACAATTTTCAGTTTTCATACTATCTCGCGTCCTATTCAATTGGTGCTCGCCGCCGCCCCGGCCGCTGAACCCGAAGAGGAGCTGACCTTGCCAGCCGATTCTTTCTATAATTAATATAATCGCTAGGTGAGGCCTCTCACTCCACGCAACAGCAAACCGGCCGGCCATCCGTCCCAACGTCGCCATCCAAGGATAGGAATGAGTGGAGATGAGGTCGCCACCGATTATGGCGTCCGTGCTTGGCCCACGGTTTTGGACCGCACGGACGGCCCTCCACTGTAGCGGCTTTTATTATCGGGAGACGCCGCTAGTTTGCTGTTAGCTGCATCCATCCATCCATCTTCTTGGCATGGGCGACGTGAAATTTGCATGGGACGCACGGATATATCGTGCCATGCTGCGCAATCCCAATGAAATCGATTGCGAGCACGATCGGTTCTTCTTCTCTTCTGTGCTGTTGGGAGGACAATCACCACATTCCCAGTGAAACTGCCAGCTTCATGTATGTTTTCTTCAGGTTTGGATTGGTTTTCTTCATCAAGTTTGGACTGCTTACCACGAGTGCCGCCTGGTAGCTTGATGTATGTAACCCCTGCTAGTATAACATTACACTCCTTGTTGACAATGAATGAGCTTCTTTTCTTTCTTTACAACGGGACGCAGGCCAAAGGAGGATGACAGGCATGATGGCGTCCGTGTTTTGTTGCTTCTTGATGCAGACAAGCTTTGTGGCGTCCGGGAAACGAACACTGCTAGTGGCTGCTCTGCGACCTGGATCCTTTCGTGAAAGCTCCAGAGAACATCCATGTGTTCGCTCTTGCGCGTCAACACATGTTTCTTTTTTTAAACGGAGGTAAAATAATTTTTCATTCATGAATTAAAGAGAGGAATACAGTTTAGGGTGTGTCTAGGTCTCGTCTAGATGTGACATAGCTATGTCACATCTAGGTATATCATCACTTGTTTATGCATTTTATTTGGGTTTATTTATTTTTCAATTGTCCATCGCTTAGGCCTTGTTTTTTTTTCGCGAGCGCTGAAAAGAGGGTTGCCCATAGCACACTCACATGGGTCAGGCCCAACGTACCTCCCATCACTCTATGGCCGTGATCACTACCCCGTGTATCCTAGCGTACGTAATATTCCATACTTTCCTCAAACATAACCAAAAAAAAATAATACTCCATACGATTTGCCCCCCCTTTTTTTTTCTGTTTTCCTTTTCTGTTTCAGGTTTACTTTTTCTTCTGGTTCCCTTTTGGTTTTTTTACCTTTTTTTTTTACTTTTTTGTATTACAAACATAATTCTAATATATGTTGAATATTTTCCAAATACACACTGGACATTCTTTCATAAACGGTGATTTTCTTTTTCCAAACACACACTGAACAATTTTCTAATATATGGTGATGTTTTTCCAAATGAACATTGAACTAATACTTAATATATGATGAACTTTTAGTTTACATTGAAGTTTTTTTCTATGTATGTGTAACTTCTATTAAATATATATGGTGAAACTTTTAGAAATGCAAATTGAACATATTTAAAATGTAGGCTGAACACTTCCAAAAATAAAATAAAAGATAGAAGAGAAAAATAAAAATACTGGTAAAAAACCAGAAAATGTTCATATATTAAAAAATGTTTTTTTTGAAAAACAATTCATGAACTTTAGAATTGTTCATGAATTTGAAACATATTGCAGTAAATTCAAAAAACGTTTACTAATTCGACAAATTTGCACATATTTGAAAAATGTTAAATGTTTATAAATTCCCAAAGATGTTGGTGAATTGAAAATAAATTCACATATTTAAAAATTGTTCACAGGTTCCAAAAATGTTCGTGAATTCAAAATATTTTCATGACAAATTCAAAAATATAAAATATACATGTTTGGATGACACCAAATTTGAATGTTTAGGATTGCGAAATAGAAAATCAAAAAAATAGTGACAGAGAGCAAAGGAGAAACAAGAAAACCATATTATTTTGTTTTCCAGTCAACTATAAATTTTAAGTTTTTTCTTTTTCTTGGAGAGAACCAAAATACCATACATATTTAATTAAAATTTCACAGTAGGAGGTTCTCCTACTGTTTCCGGTAAAAAAAAACCATACATATGTGTAGTTTTGTTTGGAACTGAATAAGAAGAAAAAAACAATTAGCTAGTTTGTTTGGTCAAGTAGAAAGATGGATATTTTAGGTTGTCTTGGTGAAAAAAAATCAAGGCGAGTTACGAGTCAAGGATGCACTTGCAAGTCAGGTAAAAAAAGGGGTTCGACCCAGTTGCAAGTTGACGGTGACTTTGCAACTAAGGCAAAAAAATGGTTGGACCAAAGAAAACTTTGGGCCTAGTTATGAGTCAAGGGTGAACTTGCAACTGAGGCAAAAAAATAGGAGACGAGCTTGGTTGCGAATCGAGGATAAACTTGCAACTAAGGCAATAAAAGGGCCAGGTCAGATGGAGCCAAGTTGCCAATCGATTGTGAACCTGCAACCGAGACAAAAACTTTCGGGTCAATTTTGAGTCAAGGGTGGACTTGCAACTGAGGCAGAAAAAATGGGTCATGCTCGGTAGCGAGTCGAGAGGAAACTTGCAACTGAGGCAAACAAAGGGTTGGGTTCAGATTGAGGCCAGTTGCGAGTCGATGATAGACTCACAACTAGGACAAGAAAACTTCACGCCGAGTTGCAAGTCGAGGCTGTACTTGCAACTGGGAGAAAAATTGACCAGGCCCTCCATTGCGTATCAAGACTAGAGTTGCAATACATACAAAAATGGGCCATGCCCCCAATTGCGTATCGAGGATGAAGTAGCAACCGTGACAAAATTGATCAGTCCCCAGTTGCGTTTCAAGGGTAGACTTGCAACTAGGGAAAAACAACGGGGCCCCCAATTGCATGTTGGGGGTGGAGTTGCAGTTGGGACAAAGAAAATGGTGGGGCCCTAGTTACATGTCAGGGTGTGGATTTGCAATTGGGACAAAAACATGGGTCAGACCAATAAAGGGATGGTCCAATTGCATGCCGGGGTGGAGTTACAACCGGGACAAATTGGTCGGCCTCCAATTGCGTGTCGAGGGTGGACATGCAAATGGGACAATATGGTCAAGCTCAGTTGCGTACGAGAGTGGGCTTAAAACTGGAATGAAAAAGGTGGCCCCTCGATTGCTTGTCGAAGGTGCAACTGGGAAAAAATGGGTCACCCCCTCCCCCGCCCCTAGTTGACTGAAGGAAATATGCCCTAGAGTCAATAATAAAGTTGTTATTTATATTTCCTTATATCATGATGAATGTTTATTATTCATGCTAGAATTGTATTAATCGAAAACTTAGTACATGTGTGAATACATAGACAAAACAGAGTGTCACTAGTATGCCTCTACTTGACTAGCTCATTAATCAACGATGGTTAAGTTTCCTAGCCATAGACATGAGTTGTCATTTGATGAACGTGATCACATCATTAGAGAATGATGTGATTGACTTGACCCATCCGTTAGCTTAGCACTATGACCGTTTAGTTTATTGCTATTGCTTTCTTCATAACTTATACATGTCCCTATGACTATGAGATTACGCAACTCCCGAATACCGGAGGAACACTTAGTGTGCTATCAAACATCACAACATAACTGGGTGATTATAAATATGCTCTACAGGTGTCTCCAATGGTGTTTTTTTTGAGTTGGCATAGATCGAGATTAGGATTTGTCACTCCGATTGTCGGAGAGGTATCTCTGGGCCCTCTCGGTAATGCACATCACTATAATCCTTGCAAGCAATGTGACTAATGAGTTAGTTGCGGGATGTTGCATTACGGAACGAGTAAAGAGACGTGCCGGTAACGAGATTGAACTAGGTATGATGATACTGACGATCGAATCTCGGGCAAGTAACATACCGATGACAAAGGGAACAACATATGTTGTTATGCGGTTTGACCGATAAAGATCTTCGTAGAATATGTAGGAACCAATATGAGCATCCAGGTTCCGCTATTGGTTATTGACCGGAGATGAGTCTCGGTCATGTCTACATAGTTCTCGAACCCGTAGGGTCCGCACGCTTAACGTTCGATGATGATATGCATTATGAGTTATGTGATTTGATGTACCGAAGATAGTTCGGAGTCCTGGATGTGATCACGGACATGACAAGGAGTCTCAAAATGGCCGAGACATAAATATTGATATATTGGAAGGCTATGTTTGGACACCGGAAAGGTTTCTGATAGGTTCGGGCATTTTCTGCAGTACCGGGGGGTTACCGGAACGCCCCCGGGGAGTTAATGGGCCTTAATGGGCCATGGTGGGAGAGAGGAGGAGCCGGCCAAGTGGGAGGCGTGCGCCCCCCAAGCCCAATCCGAATTTGGAGGGGCCGGCCCCCCTTTCCTTCTCTCCCTCTCCCTCTTCCTTCTTCTCCTACTCCAACTAGGGAAGGGGGGAATCCTACTCCTACTAGGAGTAGGAATCCCCCCTTAGGGCGCGCCATAGGAGGCCGACCCTCCCCTCCT